CCGACGCCACTGTGATCGATTCTGAGCCATGTCACTCAGAGTCTCCAAGCATTGGTTACGATAATCACGCGGACCTCAACCAAGTAGTCTGCGTCTACCAACATGGCTCAGACTAGAAGTTAATGACTTCAAGCACTGATGCCATGTTTTGATTTGGCCACCCTTGAGAATAAGTATAAACTCTTCTCAATTGATTAATCATGAAACAGTAATCATGTATTCTATGTGTTAGCTGCTGATCATTCGATTGGAACTATTTTCAGAAGCTAGAAAGATGATGTAACTACTTCAGTTATTAAACTCATATACTTAATTGGGCACTTTAAAAAAGAAATCAAGATTATAACAGTAGTAATGTAGGGAACGAATCTAATTGAACATAAAATTATAGAACGTCAAAATAAAATCTGAGAACCATACAGTAAATTCCTCATTTACGAAATATCAGTCACAATTGTCTAAGACTTCATTGTTCTCTCGTTTCCATACCAGTCATTCTCTGTTCTTATTTTCTTTTCTTTGATCTTCTTTATCTCCTACCTCCAAACATTTCACTTTCGATTGATGATATATACTACTTATATTTGTTAACATATCAGTAGTATACGCCACAATAACAGTAAATAATGGAAATAATAAATCAATTCTATAAGGAATTAAATAAGTTTATACTTGTCCAAATATTAAGTTGATTAACTTGATAAAATTGCTTAATTTCTAAAATAAGGACTCATCATCACATCCCAACCCCATTCCATCTCATTTCATTTACACAAACAAAGTTGTATGATCCAAATTAAACCAACTTTATGCAAATAGAGATACACATCAACTTGCATTCATTAATGATTCATAAAGAAAGATCAAGTGATATATATGGACTAAACAACAACAACAACAACAACGACGACGACGACAACAACAACAACAACAACAACCATAACCGCACTATCAACTAAGATTCCAAATCATCATTGCCCTAAGGCAATATTCATTTCTTAATGTTTTCTATCAATCAAAGAAAATCGTTTGTTTTTCTATTATATTGTAATCTATTTTCTTGGTTTTAATGTTATTCAACTGCTTATTTATGCTTAGTTTACTCGTTCAATACGGAAAAACAACAACAACAAAGAAGAAAAGAACAGAACAGTTTGTTTTCCCGCCTATTCGAAAAGTTAGTCGATTTAAACAACGTAAAAAAGAAAGAAGAAAACACCTTAAGCAACGTAAAAGGAAACCCAGCAAGAAACAATGATAAATATATGCAAATTTTGGTAAATTATACGGATAATTAGTTAAATCAACAAATTGTGTATTCATTATATTTATGTTAGTATATGAAATAGAGTTTGTCAAAGCATAAAAAGAGACGATAAACAAAGATGAGTGGTAACTAACAGTGGAATTTAGTTTGATGTGAGTTTTGTCCTATTTAAGGCATGTCCGTTGAATATATCTGAATCTTAGTGTGGATGTTCACTTTGAGACTTGAGCTCTGTACTATTCACTATAAACGCAATCATGTTACCCACCCAAGCTACTCTATCTTGATAGCCACCTGTTTTTGAACTTCATTTGGTATTATTTACTTGTATCTTCCGATTGTTGTTAAGAACTGCAAATAATCAGTCTTTTGTTGGCATATGTACATTCAAGATTTAGTAGCTAAGTGAACAACGTGATGACGTTTGAAGCGAACGGTGCTGAGTTCGAGTCCCGGAGTGAACATTAACCCTGGGATGCAAGTACATCCAGTTGACAAGTCTTAAATAGGACGAAACGTGCATCCTAGATTTCACTGGTAGCCGCTGTCAATCTTTGCTTATAAAGGTTTAAACTTAAGGCAATATCGAAGTAATCCACACAGGATTCACATATACCGACAAAAAAACTTAAAAACAATGGGAAGATACAAGCAATAATACAAGGTGAATTATAAAGAAACCATGTTCTATAGTAGAGATGAATAGTTTATTTACATAAAAGAAAGTCAAAATGTGATAGATGGTTGGTTTTTAACTATATTTAAACAAACATAACTCCGATGAAAAGAATTCAGAATTCAAAATCCTCATTCGCAAATGCTGTTGACGAAAATATTGGTATTATTGCAGTGTGTGCTACTGATGTCCACAGATATAAGTAGTATGTATCATCAATCGAAAGTAGAATGCCTGACAGCAGAAGGTTGAGAAGATCGAATAGAAGGGAACGAGAACAAAGGATGATTGGTATGAAAATGTAGGAACAGCAAAGTTTAGGACAATTGATGGACATTTTGCAAGTAAACTATTGAACCTATGGTATTCACAGTTTATCATATAAATCTGTAATTTTGCGTTCGAATACATTCGATTGTTTCCACTTGTGTATTCTCGTTCACTACATTACTCATGTGAAATGTATATTATCGTGAAAGCAAAAAGAAGTACGGTAAAACAGTTACTCTTTCAAGTTTTAAACTTTATTGACCAGAATTAACGAACTGTTTGTTGCTTGAGATCTATGTCTAGGTAAGCAGTAGCACAGCATTATTGATAGTTGATGGATAGATAAAATGATTGTTGTGTTCCTTCTAAATCTGAAGGGCGAAAACATTAACTATTAATGGGAGAAGTAATAGTAGAATAATCTTCCTCATTACCTACAAATTCAAAGTAATCATCGAGAATTCCTTCGAATAATTGGCCGTATGGTGTCATTATTGTGAATTAAAATAATACCTAGTGGGAAAATCTATTGTCATGTTAAAACAAGGCATTACTGTGTAAGTCCAATAAGTAATGTATCAACATCACTGATTTTCATATACCGAGTTATACTACTTAAACATCTTAAGTAGTTTGACTACATTGAATTAGTTTCAATGGTTGAGATCATGAGTCAATTGAAACTAGACCACCATGGAAAACCTGAAGGCACAGGACGGCCGTTTCGTCCTATTGCGTGACTTCTCAGTGGCAGTGCGCACCCGCGACCCTGCACCATTTAATTCGAACTCAGGACCTATGAGTCTTAGGCGTGAGCGCTAAACCACTAGACCATAGAGGAGTTCCACAATAGGGTGAAACGGCTGTCCAGTGCTTCCAGTTTTTTCATGGTGGTCTAGCTTCAATTGACTCATGATCCTAACCATTGGAATTACTAAAGTATTCAGAAAAACCCCTCTGATACACTTGATTACTTGTGGATTTTATCTAAGGTTTTAAATAGTCTCATTATTGATCAATTGAAATTTGAACAAATACACATTTTTGGTCGGTGTGCGTTTAAGCGATAGAGGAATAACGAAAGGAATCAACCACTAATACGTTACATAATCAAAATATCTTGATACCTTAGTTCTTAAGTAGTTATGTCGAAGAAACCCGCTCAGGACGAACAAATGGCACAAGAGACCAATTAATTACGGTCAAATAGACAGTGGGAAATCACAAACCTTTACCAATACTTTGAAAAGGTTGATGTCTATATGGTTTCACTAGCGAAGTGTATAAACTTTAAGTATTTAAAACGATATGGACTGGTTTTAAGCCTTAGTGTGAACACCAACATCGGGGTGTATACTTAACTGGCTGACAAGTTCCAAATACAATAAAACTTATGTCCTGGATTGCGTTCCTAAAGACAAAGCAAGGGGGTCATGTGAATAATGTGTAAAATGAGGATAAAATAAAACGATGAACGTAATTATGGAGATAATATTGACAACTATCCAAAGTAATGGGCTGCAAAAAACGGTCATTTTGGTTACCGATAGTTCGTGAAGGATATGGTAGGGAAGAGAAATGAACAAAATACTTCTGTATACGTACAGGTTGTAGGAAAATTCCAAAGATCATTTTTTCAGATTGATATAGTTATCGGTGTTGCACACACCGTGAAAGGTTTATTGGTATTCAATATACGGACTATATATTTAAGCTCCCATCGATTTTAATTCAATTTGTAATTGTATGGATCACCTCGTACTTTGTATTTCCACTGGACTTTGATCAGATTTAGTTTGTATATGCAAATCCTATTCAAATTATCTAGGTATATTCATTGTCACAAGTTTTTATAGAATAGATGTGGTGTGTTTAGCAGTGGAGTCCAGCAAGTTACTTTTATCCTATTCGGGACTCATTAGCTAGATGTACTTGTTTCCAAACAGTGAATGTCCAGTTCAAAAGACACTATATATACTACTAATAAGACAAAAACTATTTATGGCGGTTGATGTTGTCTAGAGGACCAAACGAAACCATTCAGCACTTGGTTTGTGCCCACGTGGTGTAGGTGTATACACTTTCTGTCTTCCTTTCAACTGTAAGATTAAAATTGCTTTATATCTTTCTTTCTACGAACTAATTCTTTCTTCCTGTACTATGTCCTTATATACAATCTTTCTTTAATATAATACCACCACTGAATTAACCACTTCTATGAATTCGGTGTTCATCTTGTTGTTTTAATGAGGTATGGCAACTTCGATCGATCCACATACATGCCTGGTTCTATGTTGTAACTGACTGAATCACTGACTGATACAGCTTGAGCCATGTCAGACTTACAAAACCAATCACTGAAAATACGTGATTTCTCAATGTCACGATACGTGAGTCTTTGTGGAATACAATCGTTGAACAAATCATTCCAGTCAATTTGGCTTGTTGTAATTTCAAGTACAATCGAAATGCGCTTCAATGTCTGTCTGCCTTTTAAACGAATATTTTCAATTCAGGAACTTAATCCAAGAGGTGAACGTCTATTTAACAGAACATCTATTATGAATAACAAAGCCGTTTACAATAATCTTCAAACATATAAAAACATTCAATGGAATAGCATCTATTCATCATGTCCAATCATTGTCTCATTCAGTTTTCCCACTGCTCGAATGACAATCGATGAATGAGTTTAAACAGAATTGTAAACTGATAATTAGTGCGGTATATTCATAAGACCATAAGAAAATAATGTACATAACACCACAGAACTGTTCTTCACTGCATCTATCCAAGTAATATGCTGTGTATACAATCACCTGTAATAATCAAAACATAGATGATTAATTCATTAGTATCAGAAGGGAGTTTTGTGGATATTATAGTAGTATTATAATATTTCGCACGCAAAATCGATAGGTTTAGTGTTCTAATCTCGCAAGGTGGGATTATGGAGACGCATTGCCAATGAGGAGTCCCAAAATAAGACGAAGCGGCCTTCCAGTGCTCTCACGTTTTCCATGGTGGTCTAGCTTCAATTGATTATTTCATTATTGATGTATTCATATCAACAAATGTATCGGTGAAATAATAGGCATTTACAGATATAGGGTTGACAACTTTGCAATTTCTAAACATTCATACATAACAAATGAACAGTAAGTGCCTTGCATTTTGATCTGTCAATTATTGAGCCATTCAACTAAAGAAACCAGTTAAGTGATAAACACTTCACCGCTCAATGTATCGCTTTCAGCCATCTTTCAAAGTGCTTCATGATGAATTCTTGTTGGATGCTCTGGATAGAAAACACTAATGCTTCAAAGTTCTAAGCTCTACAAAACCACATGTTTGAATGCATAATAATCAATGGACAGTTGTTTTTTGTATTTACATTTTATTATTTATTCAGAACTTACAATTAACATTGCACACCACCAACAAATCCAGGCTACACCAAGTACAATATACTGGAATAAAGGAAACAAAACAATTCACTTCAATTCATCATGTATCTATATGATAATCAGTTGAGAAACAGTGTTACTCTACTAATTAACTCTACCGATTTTAAACTAACATGTAGCTGGCTGACTGACTGACTGACTTCATGTAAGAGTTCAGCCAGTCAGTTTTCCTGAATTTCGACATCATTTATCCATCCTGTCTCATGCTTGACAGTTGTCTAAACAACGAATTAGTTTCTTCAACGACTGTATCATGAAACATTCAAGTTAGTGATTCTAAGAATGTGAAATCATTGATTGAATATGTATTGTTCTGGTTTTGCTGTAATTGCCATTGATACACAATCAAAATATTGAACACTGAGAATCAATTTATCAAATGATAACATTATTTCGTGATGCTTTGTATTAACAACATACAGTGTAAACTCCACATCAGATTGCAGACGTTTACCAGTTTTAATTCATGTGTAAAGGAAACTGGTTTCGTTTTGCAATTTATACTTGATGAGAACAATCTGCCTGGAGCCCTCATGCGGCTACTGACAGTCCAAAACCCATATAAAGAAGGAGGGTTGAGTATGGGTTAGCGATCCAATCCCGTAGAACACTAACTCGCTAAAAAGCGCTAACCAAAAAATAATTTAAACCATTTAAACTCTGCTCTAGAAGTTAGTAGATCTTCATTTAGAACAGTTATGACGGCTCATGGTGAAAGCTGAGTTCCCTCGGAAGTCGCGAGGCTGATGTTCCTTTGTGACAATCAGAGCAACCATTAATTCAGGTACATGGAATGCTCGTACAATGTGGGAGACCGGGACAGTCATCCACATAAAACCTGGAGGTGCTTGAAATCACTGAAACACCTTTGGACGCAGGTTGAGTAACAACAATTAGCTTCAAGGGAGCTTCTATTATACGCTGGCCATGAAGAAGAAAATGCTCCACATACACAAGGAGTTGCACAGATGCTATACAAACGAGTACAAAAAGTGCTAATAAGATGGCAATCTCATGATCAGCGGATTTTGTTGGCAAAACTGTAGCTATTCGAGTAAACCATTAACAAATCAATAATAATCACTAATTACGACTAGTTTGTGCAAATCTATGATTAGACAAACTTACGTTGGGAAGTGCCGCCCCTATAATCAATAAAATGATTCCGATTCCCCCAAACACACACCACATTGAGAACAAGACTATCTTCAATTTTCTTTCTTCAACTTGTAGCTTTACACCCAATAAAATCGCTAAGCTGGCCAACGTGGTATCCACAGTTACAGAAATAATTATTTCATACCATTTTGTAGGTGAATTTAGTAATCCAACACCAATAATCATAATTATCAACTGAATTGGGAAAAAGTAGCATCATCAAATTGGTTATCATTAGTTTTAAAGTTGAATCGGTCAACTATTGGACAAATAATGAAAGAATAATCTCCACTCTCCTGCATTTGATTGAAATGCTTAACAATGAGTAGTTATGGATGCAAGCAGATAACAAGGAATCTCTATCCATGTCTATCATAATGATAAACTTGAAATATCTTCAAAGCTAATTCGCTCATCCATTACACATGACCATTTTATATAAGGTTTCTCACCGAAAATGTGTGGAATATACCAATTTGGGTCAACCAAGAACTACGGCAGCTAGTAATGTGTCTGCGACTTGAAGAACTAAGTGATCACTTGTGTATTATATAACATAAGTTCAGTGATAGACAAAGTGTGTGGATGATTAGACCAATGAAAATGATACAAATTCAATTTGTTTAGTTGTTTTTCTGTGTTCACAACTCATTCCACATCTCGCAAATGGTTATAACAACATACGTAGATGAGAGTAGAATGTACCGGTACTATGTGCAACCATGTATATTCATTTATCAATTGTTCATAACATGGACGGATAGATGCCTTCTAATGTTATATTATTTTCGCCAGTTATCAGTCAAGTCATAGCTCATGATCCGACCGGATCATCAACATACGTCAACATTTTTATGAAATCAGTGAAACTATAGAAACTGGGTCTCTAGACATGATGTCATCTTAAAATAGACTACAACGATCAAACTCATCTATTCAAGTCAACCTTCAAAGATCGTTTGATCCTGATAACCGTTATCAAACGAACATGACAACATGGTTTTATTAATCAACAAACAACACTAAACTAAATAAGATCGATAATTGGATGAAACTATCATGAATGTACTATTAAAACCATATTCAACTGACCGTTATAACCATGAAGATACTGTTCCTTATGGATGTAGAATGTAGTTTCTTAATCAATATGATTAATAATCCAATAAGCAAACCTATAAATCTGAAATATAAAGAAAAAAAATGTGTGCGACATACTAAACTCACAGATACAACAGATCATAGTAATATGCATCAAATGTTCTACACAATATATGTGCATAAAATGGTTGAACAAGTTCCTCACCTACTACTCAGTTCAACATTTCCGAAAGTTTTTAAAACTTGTCAAAATAACCGATAAGTGGAGAATACCTAAGGAATGATCTCTTGTATATTTCATTTGATCGCTCAAATACCCTGGTACGACAGATTTTAAAGATGTTTAGCTCTGCCTCTCGAAATGCTCTCACATGGACACGCATATACACTCACTACCATGGAAGATTTAATCACTGTCTTCTTGTGGTGGGGGTGTTGTTTACGTAATTGAGTGAATAAAATGTGAATGTCCGGCGCTTTGACCGGGTTAGTGGATATGCGGAATCCATTTAGGCAAGTTGGCAAATCATGACTCCAAATCAGTGATGTACATGGGCTCCAGAATCCCAAGGAAACAAATGGCACATGAACCAATTGTCGGTCACCGGTTATCATGGGATTGCATCTGTTGACGTTGCCTTGTGACTCCGGATGTAGCGTCCTAAGAAAACCAACATCTTCGGTCTGGTCACCCGGACATTATCATAGCCCACACACAAATCAAGTGGTTTGTGTGGCGCATATGTATTCTCTGACTGTTTGTACTAATATTTGTGAGTTGAAATAAATAAATTTCAGTATGATCATTTATTGTGATGTGATGTAACACAAAATGTCAATGCTTTCCACTAGGAAAGAAATAAACTTTATTTCTCTCCCTCATTCATAATATTCTTGTCAAACATGGATCGAATTTCTCATCAAAGTGTATTAATCAATTCATTGAATAATACGTAATAGTAATACATGGAAAATTGTCGTTAAGGTTCCTGGGGAATGAGTGTATTTAAAACATGTATTACTTACGTTAAAATGAGACCACTGAGAACAATTGGATGTTCAAGCCTTTGGAAGCTGAATCTGTCAAATGGAATGATAAATGTCTTACATGCAAGTAGAATTGTTCTGATTGGTCACCGCCAACACATCATCAAATGCGAATTTCATCATCGTTTAACTATCTGCAATGAAGATTTGTGAACAATTCACCTTCCACAATCACTAATTCCAACTTTAACTGAAATAAGTAAGAATTCACAATACACTAATGGAGAAATTCAATTTCATGGATTACATAAAACCTTAAATATTCATTTACATGCCTATTTCTTTCCTCATTCAATGTTTTTCAACAAGTTCGGATTCATGGACAGAATCAGAATTCCATCCGACTACTTTGCTGTATCATCTTGACGAGATTAATAGCAAACACCGAAACTCAATGAAAATTGATCTCATCAGATTCATGTTAGCTGCTCACTGCATAAGGTGTGACTTAAAGTCATTAACGTTATCCCACTCAATCCAGAGAAATAGATCATTAACAATGACTATTGCATTCATCCAAATAAATAAATCTCAATAGAAGTATGTTGTTGCTATCTCGTTTACTGTGATATATTTGCGGTTAAAAAGTGAATGTCATACAATGGAAGCATGATCGCCCTCTCATCTTCTATGGAAAACACTTTGTTAAGTAGACTGATGATCCTGATGCGTATATTAGGAATGAGGATTTCTACCTCCTCATACCGTCTTGAAATGAATGAGTTTTTGCATTTCAAATAACGATTGTCCGTTGTTAATGGTCCCTTACCTGATCCTATCAAATGTGAAGTTGCTAACTTTAGCCTGAAACACGAACTGCACTCAAACACCTTATTGTAATACCATGAAGTATGTACTATTAGAGATTCCGTAATGAAAACAATGCCAAAGATAATTTATTGTGGTGTAATGCTTTACCATTATCTCTCTTCGTTTTCTCATACGGTATTGTTATCAAGGAAAGCTTTGTATTCAACTTTTATATAGAGTGGCTAAATGCTCTTCGCACGGCTTGACATTTATGTTGACGACATCTTGATTCTTGCGTATTATCTATTATTCATTACTGTTCTCGATAGATGATTTTTAGGAAAGATTTTGCCATATTGTGGAGACTGCTGAAGGCAGTGAGTAGTAAGTGATGGATCATTTAAGATCATTAGATATTGAAAGTCTTGCAAACTGCTGACAAGTGATGTACCAAATATTTCATCTTGTACATCTTGTAGTAGAACAAGACACCTATACATGAGAATCTATGAGAACCTCTCTCGTGTTTGTAAAAGAAACTCGTTGGAATCATTTGTGCTGAAAGTTATATTTTGCGCTGATACCATGTTATGGTTTGGCTGTCCCTAACCTTCTTCCAGTCATCTCCTACACTAGTCAGCGTTGCGCGTTGTGGTAATTAGTGTTCAGGAATACGTAGCACGTGGCCCAACCATCTCAGTCGATGAAGATTCACAAACTCATCAACTGATTTAACATCATTCCCTAATATCCTGCGTCTAACATAACTATTACTTATCCGGTGATACCAACAGATGTGAACAATATTTCTAAGGCATATATGATTAATTACTAGTAGCTTACGAGTATCTTTTGCTCTTAATGACTACATTTCGCAGCCATAAAGTAGAACAGAACGGACTGCTGAACAGTATACTCGTCCTTTTATTGATAGACGAATATCTCTCCTTCGCCATAGGTGACGTAAGTTGACAAAAGCCAAACGAGCTTTTCGAGTCCGTGCTGAGATTTCGTCAGACACCAACCCATTAGGGCTGATTAGATTTCCAAGATAAGTGGAGGTGTCAACGCATTCGACTACTTCACTCTTTATCCTTAGTTCAGCCAAGTCCTGAAGCAACAACTTGCATTTAGAGGGGGAGAAGCGCATCCAAAACATTCTGGCATTGTTGCTCACTGCTACCAAAATACTCTGTCTTTTATCAGCGTCTTCAACAAACAGAACTATATCGTCTGAGTATTTTATGTCGATAAGTGGACTCCCTGGAAGGAGATCAGTGCTACTGATAATACAACTCATCTACAAATGTAAACTCATTGCCTAATTCATACACTTTGATAGAAATCGACAAACTTACATGGAATTATTCGAATGTTCAGTATTACTAATGATCTAATAAAATTACACAAATTTATAACGAAATTCATTGATTGCTTCATTGAACTTTGGTTAAGCAAACATTGTACAAAACAACAGAATAAGTGATTTGGTTAGAAACTAATATGATGGAAAGAAAAGTCAATTTTTGATTGGATTTACTCATGATGAGCTTTTGTTCCAGATTATGTCCGTTTTCTTTTCTCTCGTATGATATTTTATTGTTTACAATATACGATATGAACTATGCTCAGTATGTGATTTGTTATAACTCAAAGTGTTTTTCATACATGTGATTTCATCATAAATATTAATAGAAATGGGTGTACAATGAGTATATAAATGAGTGTACTTCCTAGTAGAATCATTGTCGTCGTTGTCATAGTGTTTAAATGTTACGTAATCATCACTTATACCAGTCCTTGTGTTCCTAAATTCGCGTCGTCATAATTGCAGAGGTCCCTTGTTCCGAGTATAAGTGATCAGCGTATTTCCGACATAACAATTAGCGAAGAGCAGATACAAATGGTAGCATTGAAAAAGCCAAGATAATAAACATTCAAAGGACAAATTATAACAGAAATAGAACAAACTTATTTAACTGTTGGTTTATTTAGAATGAGTACGTGATAGCACTTTGAAACAAAAATAATGAATGATCTTATTGATCCGATAAGCTCAATAACTGGATATAGTCTCCACAGAGCCTGGATGTCAGATAAGGCACTATATATTTCTATTTCTTGATAATATTAGTTTCTATGGTCAAAATCGACACATCTTGTACGCTATGAATATATATATGTCAGTCAGTCATTCGGCTACAAAGTAGGACCAGGCACATATATGCATCAGTCCAAGTTGCCATACCTCATTAACACAACAAGATGAACATCGGATTCATAAAAGTAGTTAATTCAGAGGTGGTAATATATAAAATAAAGATGGCAATAAGGATATAGAACAGGAAGAAATAATTAGTTCGTAGAAAGAAATATATGAAGCGATTTTAATCTCTTAGTTTAAGGGAAAACAGAGAGTGTATACACCTACGCCGTTGTGATCGATTCTGTGCCATGTCACCAAGAGTCTACAACCATTGGTTACGATGGTCACACGGACCCTAACCAAGTAGTCTGCATCTACCAACATGGCTCAGGCTAGAAGTTAATGACTTCAAGCACTGATGCCACGTTTTGGTTTGGCCACCCCTAACTTTCTTCAAACCATCCCGAACACCGGTTAGCATTGCACGTCGTAGTAATCGGGGTCCGGGCATACGTAACACGTGGCCCAACCATCTTTCACTTCATCCGAGCTGCAGTCGGTGGTAGCGTAGGCAGAAACGACAAAAAGGCAACGACGTGTGTTCCGGTCCTTTCGAGTTCTTACGGAGCCGTTTAGCCGAACAGCCCGACCGTTGTTGCTACCTTGACGTGGTGGTCGGGCTTGTCTATCGTGATGAACCAGTCGAGCTATACTGGCTGGAACAACCGTTCCTCAAGGTCCTACCATGTCAGACAGGTCGGTTGAAGAGCGGTAGGACTAAAAGCAACAAACGCAAGGTCCGAAGGCGAAGTCGTGCTGTTGACTTTACAGAGGTGTGACAGCAGTAAGGTGTTTCTTTCAGACAACCAGCATGAAAGCGATGCTGTATTTTATATCCACTAAAATAGACAATACCGAACCTTTTAATGGATCATTTAACTAAGTACACTGAAAAATGTTCAAGAACAAAACATTGGGAATGATAGGTGATTCTGTCGATAGAGATTTCTCCAAAGAACCAGTCCAACTGATGACTTTACAAAGAAATAACTGGATCACCAGTATACAAAACATCTTAGAAATGTGATATGTAGCACAGATGGAATGAATGTATTGAATCAAGTCATATTCATGTTGATTCTATTATAAGCTATATTTTCACTCATAGATTCTTATTATTGTACGATATACCGTTCTTGAGTTGTGCCCAGTCAGTTAATTACAGCCTCCCACATACACAATCACTTTTGGCTAGATCATGTACGGATGTGTATTTTCTATATGACGTATGAATCAATCGTTGGTCACCGGCTACCAAGGGACTGCATCTCCTCACGATGCTCCACTACCTTGTCGGTCAGACCTTTAGGTCAAAGACTCTGGGTATGGCTATCTAAGAAAACCACCTGCTCCTATATTTGCACCCGGGCAGTATCACAGCCCACACACAAATATGATGAACTGTCAATATTTATGGAAACTACTTTTCTTGCTTCGATTAACAGTCAAACGATTCACATTATTATTATTATTTACTACGTCATTTATTCACTCTCTTTTATTCCCACTTTGTGAATCCTTATTTTTCGACTGAAACAGCGGCTCGTCTATGGTGGAAATTCGGCTCTACCTGAACGTTTTTGAGTCACTGACTGGTTGAAAATTGTATGCTACCATAAAATACGAGTACTGAAGCGGTTTTTCTGAAACCACGCGCACCATTCAAACTGGCTGCCTTCAACGTTCGCACACTTATGCAGGTCAGACAAGAGATAGGGGTGGCTATGTCTTTGTAAAAGTCTCAACATCGACATTTGCTGTTTATTTGAGGCCTATATACAAGACTCTGGTGAAGTACTACAAATTCGCTCTCCATCTGTCGCTTGTTTTACGTGCGTTTATCCGGGGACCCTGTGCATCTTTGTCTGGTCTTGTTGGCGTTGGTGTCGCACTAAGCGTTAGAGCTGAGGCAGCACTAATCGACTGGATCCCCATTAACAGTCGGTTATGTGCTGTTGGATTGGAAAGTTCCATCAAAGTGAGAAGAAGTCCGTGTGAGGAACGATGTCTTTTCGTCATCTCCGCCTATGCCTTGACAGATTGCAGCTCAGTTACTTTGTTTTGGTTTCAAACGAGCAAGGGCGCCTATCTAACCCACATGAACAACTACCCTTCAGTCCAAACATTAGTTTGGATCTTACACTTTAATGTTTCATTAAACGTTTAGAGAATTTTCTAGTGTAATTGCTAAACGTAGTTATGAATTGAAATCAGAGTGAAAATAAACTTACTGTTTCTTAGAAATTAACTGTATTGTTGCGGAATTCTACAGAATTCCTCCAAAAAAACCAACAAAAAGGCTTTGAAAACACTGAGAATCATCTTATCCAATCAGCAGCATTCAACAGAACTGATGCCAGAAATATCTAGGAAGTGAAAAGTCACATATCACCTTTCTGATTAGATCATTACCTATCCTTCTTCTAGTATGTTTACTAGCATGCCAGAATTATCAGGAAGTACAAAGTCATCTAAAATGCTACAAATATCCTAGACTTTCTGTACATAAACGAACCTTGATGCAGTGTTTTGTCCATCCATATTTCGCGTCTTTTCTCTCGTGCTCAAGTTGCTGTGTATATATAACCAGGAAGTTACTAGAAGAGCTTAGGAAACTGAATTTAGTGTTCATTTAGGAGATTTATCAGCTATCATTTGAGACGATATAATGACAATTCACCAGTGTTTTAACATTGAGAGAATATTGATCATGATATTCAATAATCAAGAACTGTCAATACACATATACAAATCTTACTTCTAGATGAAACATCTAAAATGCTGTGACACCAAGTTTGACGTCTGCCTAAATAATAAACGCTGTCGTTTGATAGTCATTGAAATAAACAACAACTGGACGTGTAGTGAGCTACTAAGGCCGACATCTGCTGACTAATATGTGGCTTAAGCCACATATATTATTCTAACTGAATGTCTAACATGGTTACTATCAATTCAGTATTGTTATCATTTATTACCCTAATCAGAATTTACCTGTAGTTGACTGTTTCACCTTTAAATAACACTTCTGACTACTAGTAAGTACTATAATAGTACAGAGAAAACAGATTTTGGAGTGAAATCGGTTTGGAAACTGACTGATGAAAAGAGGGAAACCATTTCGACAATCATTTATTGCTTCATGGTTTCTTCTCTGTCTTGTTATAAACATGTAGTAACTACTACTAAACTCCGCCTCTAGCTCTTCAAGAGTCACTGCCTGTCCCAAGCCCGAGTAAAGGAGGAGGGTTGGGCAGGGGGTTAGCGACCTAATCCCGTAGAAAACATACTAGCTAAAAAAACGCTTACGGAAAAAATAATTCAAACCATTTACACTGTGCCCTGAGAGTTAGAAGTTCTTCATTTAGAAGAATTATGACGCTTCATGGTGAAAGCCGAGTTCCTTCGGAAGCCACGAGGCCGATGCCCCTTCTTACAACCAGAGCAAAAATTTTGATAGCTATATGGAACGTCCGAACAATGTGGGAGATGGGAAAGTCCAGTCAAACAGCAACGGAAATGAGGAGATACAACTTGGCAGTACTGGGAATCAGCGAAGTCCATTGGACTCAAGCTGGACAACATAGGCTAGGTACGGGAGAGATGCTGCTATACTCCGGTCACGAAGAGGAAAATGCTCCACATACTCAGGGAGTTGCTCTAATGCTGTACAAAGTAGCACGAAATGCACCTGTGGGATGGGAATCTCACGGATCCAGAATCATCAAAGCATCATTCGAAGCAAAGAAGGAGGGGATCTTAATGAATATTATCCAATGTAATGCACCCACCAATGATAGAAACGACGACATTAAAGATCAATTCTACGAGCGGCTGCAGTCAATCATAGAGAAATGCCCAAGAAAGGACCTTATCATTCTAATATGAGATCTCAATGCCAAAGTTGGAATAGACAACACCGGATCTGAAGATATTATGGGACGACATGGACTGGGAGAAAGAAACGAAAATGGAGAAAGATTTGCAAATCTATGTGCATTCAACAAATTGGTCATAGGAGGCACAATATTTCCACACAAGCGTATACACAAGGCTACATGGATCTCACCGGACCACACTACAGAGAACCAGATAGATCATAATGTCATCAATAAAGAATTCCGTAGGGCAGTGGAAGATGTGAGAACCGGGAGAGGAGCTGATATAGTTTCGGATCACCACCTAGTTGTAGCCAATTAAAAACTGAAGCTAAAGAAGAACTGGACAACTGGAC